AAATGCTAGAGAGGGTGTGGAGAAAAGGGAACCCTCTTGCACTGTTGGTGGGAATGTACATTGATACAGCCACTATGGAGAACAGTATGGAGGTTCCTTAGTAAACTACAAATAGAACTACCATACCACCCAGCAATCCCACTACTGGTCATATGCCCTGAGAAAACCATAATTCAAAAAGAGTCATGTGGGCTGCCCTGGTGATGCAGTGGTTGAGAATCTGCCTGCCAATGCAGGGGACACGGGTTCGAGCCCTGGTCTGGGAAGATCCCACATGCCGCGGAGCAACTGGGCCCGTGAGCCACAACTACTGAGCCTGTGCCTCTGGAGCCTGTGCTCCGCAACAAGAGAGGCCGCGATAGTGAGAGGCCCGCACACTGCGATGAAGAGTGGCCCCTACTTGCCGCAACTAGAGAAAGCCCTCGCACAGAAACGAAGACCCAACACAGCCAAAAATAAATAAATAATTAATTAATTAAGACCACATATTAAAAAAAAAAAGAGTCATGTGCCACAATGTTCATTGCAGCTCTATTTACAATAACCAGGACATGGAAGCAACCTAAGTGTCCATCAACAGATGAATGGTAAAGAAGATGTGGCACATATATACAATGGAATATTACTCAGCCATAAAAAGAAATGAAATTGAGTTATTTGTAGTGAGGTGGATGGACCTAGAGTTTGTCCTACAGAGTGAAGTAAGTCAGAAAGAGAAAAACAAATACTGTATGCTAACACATATATATGGAATTTAAAAAAATGGTTATGAGGAACCTGGGGCCGTAAAGGAATAAAGACACAGATGTAGAGAATGGACTTGAGGACGTGGGGAGGGGGAAGGGAAAGGGTAAGCTGGGATGAAGTGAGAGAGTGGCATGGACATATATACACTACCAAATGTAAAATAGCTAGCTAGTGGGAAGCAGCCGCATAGCACAGGGAGATCAGCTCGGTGCTTTGTGACCACCTAGAGGGGTGGGATAGGGAGGGTGGGAGGGAGACACAAGAGGGAGGAGATATGGGGATATATGTATATGTACAGCTGATTCACTTGTTATAAAGCAGAAACTAACACACCATTGTAAAGCAATTATACTCCAATAAAGATGTTAAAAAAAGAAATATTATATCTGAATAACTTTAGAAACACATTTATAGATCATATAGTAAATATTATCATAACAACCATTCCCTGAAGTGACTGTAGACAGCTAACAGAAGCTGGATTTCCAAAATGAAGTCATTTAAATTTCTAGAATATCATAAGGAAACGGCTTTGCTTTAAATACTAAAGTTTTAGAAGTTTATTTTAAAGTACAAAAAACTTTAGTTAGGAAGAATAAAATAATTATAGCTTAGACCTAACATGGTTTTATAGATTCAGCTTTATATAGTTTTATAGATTCTTTACAGTTATACTTTGCCTTTTGCTTTTGATACTGTGGTTATTTAAGCATAAGGTTACAAAATCGCCCTTTGTTTCAGAAATGTTTCTACAGAAACTACCATGCACAATTTTTCAATAGCAACTCAATGTCTATTAGTTTTTAAGGTTCTTTAAAAAAATGTGTTTTACTTTGTACAGCCAGGAAGCAGCCTGTTTCCAAAACTAAGTGTGACCTCAACCTTTTGCCAAGGAAATCCCTTTACATCCAGAGAAAATAATAATTTCCTTGACAAAAGGTTGGCATTCCATTTACCCTTTTAAAAAATCAACACATACTTCTCTTATTATGAATGAAAAATGGTCAAAGAGGCATCTTTTGGACCAGAACAAAGAAAATAAAAGTTACAAATAATTCTACATGTTTCTAATAAAATACTTTTTTCAATTTAAAATTGGGGGTATAAAACAATTACATATTTACCTACATGATCACTTAACCAGTGATCAGTTACTGACATTTTGAGCTATGCAGACATAAGAAATGAGGGGAAAAAAAAAAAAGCCCTTAACTGTCAGCTAACATGGAATGTTGCAAAATCCATATACTTTATTCATAGGAACTCTTATCCTGTTCGTCTCTCTCTCATGTAAAAGTAATTCAAGTACTAATTTTCAAACACATATATGTAATAGGCACTTCATATATATTAACATTAATCCTCCTAGCAGCTCTCATGATAATTTAATCCTCACTTTATATATCAAGAAATTGAGACCCAGAGGTTAAGGAATAGCTCATAAATGTCAGAGCCATTGATGGAACTCAAGGGTTTCTTACTTCAAAGCTTGCATTCATTTTTTACTATAAAGTATAATGATATGTTTTCTGAGCTAATTGGAATGGAGGAATGGCACAGTTGAATGCAGGCAATACCTTAACAAGAAAGAGAACTAGGGAAGAGACAAACAAATAGAAAAACTCTAATAAAAAAAATAAACTGAAAAGTCAAGAAAATCACCATTAATGGCTCTGTAGGGTAGGAATAAATAACTCCACATGTTATAGCTTCTGAGGCTTTCACTAACTCAATAAACAGTGAAACTATAAGTAATAGTCATAACAGAAGTCTGTGTCATCAAAAAAAGAAAACTTAGGTTTTCTTCAGGATACTGTGTTAATAAGGCAGGAAGTTAGAAAAGTTATTTTAAACAGAGAAATTTTAATCCACGGGTTAAGATAAAAATGTTAATACTCAAGAGACAAATGTTAGCTGTCAAAAATTAATGTGCCACCTCTTGTTCTCTGAGGATGCCAGATGTAGAAGGTACTATATTAATATTATTTAAATCCACCTAGGCTTTTTATGGATATATGTTTTTGTTCATGAGGATATGTAGTGCAGAGCTTTGACAAATTAGATTGTTATGGTCATTTGTGTGAGCTTATCTGTTATCCTCAGATTGTTAGATCTTAACCTCTGAAACTTTAGTAAGGAAAAAGACAACTTTAAAAAATTAAAGCTATTGAATCATTGTTGTACATCAGGAATTAACATGGTGTTGTAAGTCAATTATGCTCAAAAACAAACAAATACACTCAGAGAAAACGCTATCAGATTTGTGGTTACCAGAGGTGGGAGGTGGGGAGGAGGGGAATTGGATAAAGGTAGTCAAAAGGTACAAACTTAAGGTACAAACTTCCAGTTATAAGATAAATAAGTACCAGGGATGTAATATACATGATACATATAATTAACACTGCTGTATGTTATATATGACAGTTAAGAGAGTAAAACCTATGAGTTCTCATTACAAAGAAAAAATGTTTTTTTCATCTAATTTTGTATCTATATGAGATGATGGATGTTCAATAAAGTTATTATGGTAATCACTTCATGATGTATGCAAGTCAAACCCTTATGCTGTACCTCTTAAACTTATACAGTGCTGTATGTTAATTATCTCAATAAAACTGGAAGAAAAATTTTAAAAAGAAAAGAAAAGAAAAATTAAAACTAAAAGTTACAAAACCATAATGACAATTGATCCAGGGACTTTCGTTGCTCATTACCGAAAAAGAAGCTAATTTGTATATCCTAGCAAGACTAAATTTAGCTTGCACTATACATATAATAGGCGTACAATAATCAATTGTTGAGTGAATGAATTTTGAAAAAACTGCTAAGGCAAACACCAAATGATGATGATGATGATACTAGAACAAGCTGAGAAAATTCTTTAATTTTAAATGTGCTATTTTATTGTTTCACAATTGCATGAGTTTTTTCCCCAGGAGTGAATAGTCTGGGCAGTATGTTCATATCTATTTTAGGAAGATCTTTTAAAATTGGCCCATTAGTTTTCTTTTGTTCTCAAACTCTGTTTTCCAACAAACCTACAAAATTTTTAACTGGTTTTTCACACACTCATGCCTGAGAGGTGCTGCTGTTGATCAATGAATCAGTGATGAAGATTTTAGTGCCTGCGGAAGAGGTAGGAATTAGGAATTCAGTCCTAAAATAGATACATGGGGGTCTAGAATTTGACATTCAAATGCTGGTTGCTTGATTCTCTTTCAATCCAGTATTCTCTTAGGTTTTCTGATTTGGGATGGATTTTGGATATCTTAGAACTCAACTCTCCACTCTGCCCAGAATTTTTCTCCAGCATCCCTAGCAGATTGTTCTCTGACTTCTCCTTCATGGTACTCTCTCCTGGAGCTTTGGGGATAACTTTGCTCCGAAGTTATTAGAGGTTGAGACCTCTAATTACTGGAAAGTTTCTCTCTGTGTTGAATGGAAATCTTTCTTTGGAACAGCTACTCATTGGTTCTAGGCCTAAGCCTTTTGCAACCTCTTAGAAATGTCTCTCTAGCTTTAAATAGAGTCACTCTTCTGAGGTGACATCTTTGTTGGAATTCATCAAGCACTGGACCTAGGTCACATATATTCTGAGGATAACAGCAGTCACGGCTATGCTTGTGTAAACATGACATTTATCTTCAAGTGTTCTGTTACTCCTTTCTGAGACCCTCAAAAAGAAAAAAGAAAAAAGAAAAAAAAAAAAGAAGGAAAAAGAAAAGTACTGGATTTCCAAATTTTACAGAATCATCGAGTTAGAAAAAACCCTCCAAATTTGAAATAATGGAGCCAATATTGGAGCACCTCAACAGATATTCATAACCACGCACCTAAAATTGCCTGGACTGTGCACATCTGTTTTAATGGAGTTGACTGCATACTCTGGCCTATAGGTCCCACACCACACCTAGGGACAGAAATAGAAAAAAGAAAGCAGCATACTTAGGTTCCATCAAGGATTATTTGTTTGGGCAATCTGGAGGAAAAGCAAACTTCCTATCGCAAAAGTTAAACTGGAATTCTGCATTCCTCAACCAATTACTCTTCAAATAATGTTCAATAATAGGCAGCCAGGAACATAATTATCATTAATACGGTCTGACGGTCTGTTACACACAATGAAAGTTAGTCAATCAAATGATCTGCCACAATGGATTAAAACGAGAAAACTCAGTATGCAATATCTAACTTACTATGAAATTATAACTCAAGATGATTTTCATATCTATCAATCAAGAAAGATACAATACCTGGGCAAAATTCAAGAAGAACAGTTGTTTGTGATTTAGGTCAAGTCCAGGAAGTAATTTTTCTTCACCATGCTTTTTAACATAATTTTGATAGGCCTAGGCAGTTAATGAAAGAGAAACATGATGTTTATAATTTCTAAATTTATATATAAATCTATGCAAAGATCATGTAACCAAGTAATTAAACTTTTATATCAGAATCACCATAATAATATATTTAGTTATGGCAACCTACAAGTATTTAATGGATTAGAAAGAAAACTAGTATTTACTTACAAATGCTCTGAAAAGAACAAGATTAATGACTAACAGATGATAAAAGCCTAGCATATGTCAGATGATCAGCAAATGTTAGCTGAATGAATGGATGACTTAAATAGTGATGAAAAACTTATCTAAATGTTGTTATATAGATGGGTGAGTCTAGCCAGTTGGAAGAAAAGATTGCCAATGGAGTCTGTAATTGCTGTACTTGGCCTGGGTACTACTCTCAGCAAAAGAGACTCACACCAGACTTCATATGAGTGATTCCTGACAAAAGTCAAGGGAGTCTAGTCTCTTAACAGCCCTTAGAGGCCTAGCACCCTATGATTCTAAGAATAAGGATGTGCAATTATTACGGCCCCCTGAAGACAGGGCAAAATAGATTGAACCTCAGTCACATTAAGAAAAAGGAATTTAGATTACTTGAACATCAGGAAATTTTCTTAATTCTTAAGGATCTATAGACACTATTGAAAAATGTAGTTTTCCTCTACTAAATACACTTAAGAAAAGGATTGACAACAAACTTTCTGAGATGTGTTAGTTTCAGTTTAATACAAAGAAAGGTGATATTAGATACACAGAAGATATATTTCTTTTCTTCTTACTTGCCATCAACATAGATTTATTGAGTCTGTAATGTGCAAAGATGCTGGGGATATGGGAAAGACTTGAGCCTACTCCTCTTAGGGAGCTCATAATCTAGCAGGGAGCATTACAAGTCAAGATTTCATGTATAATAACATATTTGTACAATTGTAATTTGCTTCATGATTATAAATCTGTACTTGTTCTACATGAGGATCTCCATGCAACTACCCTTAACCCAGACTTAGGCTGAAGTTTTACAGCAGTGATTCTCAATCTGGTTGCGTATTAGAATCACCATGGAGGAAGCCCAATGCCTTCCACTTCCAGGCAAGATGGAGTGACAGGGACTGAATTTACCCTCCCACTGAAATGACCAAATGATAGACAAAATATATTAAACAATGGTTTGCATGACACTAGACATCAGGCAAAAAGGAAAGTCATCTCTGGGAGATGGTAAACAAATGGAGGAGCCTTACGATTGCCCCAGCTTTTTGACTTGAGCATTTCCAGGCCACAAAATAGAGCAGGAAACCCCAGTGGGAGCCTGGCAGACTCCTTGAGAGGGTGAGGAGAAGGTGCTGAGAATTCAGGGACACCAAGGAAAGGGTAATGAAGAGGAGAAAGCTGCAGAGAAACAGACTCTCAGAGATCAATGGCCCCTCAGGTATTCAGCTGAGTACCTGAGTATGCATGTGAGCAAACTACCCAAGGCTAGGGAAGAAACTACCGAAAAGGATTAGAGATAAAAACGTCTGGTATCACACAAGACAAGAACGAAAGATTCACACTGTAGGTCCTTGCCTCAGCAGTGAAGAATAATTATCCCTAGACTGAGCACTACCCCAGACATGCCTAACAAATTGTAAAAGCAAGATCTAAAAGGACCAAGCCATTTCTGAGGAATTTAATGGCATCCTAGAATAAAGCTCAAGAATATTTAGAGGAAAACAAAAATATCCACCACCCAAAAAAGGTAAAATGCACAACGTCTGGCATCCAGTAAAAAAATTTCCAAGTATTCAAAGAAGCAGTAATCTACCATCTCCCAGGACTTGGCTGGAACTCATTCTTTTGGAAACTTTGCAGCCAGATTAATTTCCCAAGCCTCACACTTTGATCATCCAGGGTCACTGCCAAGTCACAGGCCCCACCAGTCAACTCTCCTGCATTACTCTGATAATTCCCTCCTCCCCTCCAACCCAAACATCTCGATGGAGAACAAATAACCTTATATCCTCCCCCACTCCAATGAATATTCCATCCATCTTTATGTCAGTAGCCTGACTCTATCCTGTGGACACCTTGTCCCCTGTATCCTCTCAAGTGGACTCTGTTTTTTCTCCCACATGTGGGCCACCTCAGCATTGGGAAAACAACTCAAAATCATGCTCACTCCTTGCTGCTTCCAAGACCATTATTCCTCCACTGTTTTGTGAAAACCCCTACTTTTTCTTGTGCACATAGTATCCATTAGACCATGTTTAATCCTTGTTCAAATCATCAAATCATGGCATATTTTATGGAGGGTGCGAAGCTGGATCTCCAGTACCAAGGGCCAAACACATAGTAAAGCCCTCAGAAAGTATCGTCGAATGTTAAGAATGAAGGGAAGTCCAAATGAGATTCTAAGGGATGCTCCAAGAATACACTCCTCTGAGTCTAACGGTTTACACCATTACAAGGCCCCATGCTGGGACCATATCACTTCAGTCCCTCACTGTCATTGTAATGGACTGTAGTTTAATATTATGCCTGTGGTTTATGTTGATTATTGTTCCCAAATACTGCTTCATCTGCCATGAAACTGAGGGTCATGCTCAGTACATCAATCAATGACTCTGAAATAAACCTTTCTATATACTATCTTTTCTAAAATAACTATTTCAGAGGTTATTTCTTAGAAAAATATCGCCTCCTCTGTGGAACTTGCTTACCTCAATTCTATCATTAAAATATTCTGTGTTTCCTTTTCTCCTTGGCTTCTTCAAAGCTTAGAGACTGGTATTCAGCTCAATCATATCAACTGTATTGTCCCTTCTGGTTAGCATATTTACAATCCCCTTTCTCCTTGTGAATTTTCCATTTTCTTGTCATCCATTTATTGCTTACATTATATGTCTTTTGCAAAAGGCTTTAAATGAGTGATTAAATATGATCAATATACACTCCAATCACTAAAAGGGGAAGAAAGTATTACTCACTCTGTATGCTTGGCCAATACCACCATTATCAGCAATGTTTTCTCCTAGTGTGTTAATTCCATTGAGCTGTTAAAAAAAAAAGACACTTAAAGACCCTTAACTATGTTTGGATTGTTAAGAAAGCATCAATAGGGCTTCCCTGGTGGCGCAGTGGTTGAGAGTCCGCCTGCCAATGCAGAGGACACGGGTTCGTGCCCCGGTCCAGGAAGATCCCACATGCCGCGGAGCAACTAAGCCCGTGAGCCATGGCCGCTGGGCCTGCGTGTCCAGAGCTTGTGCTCCGCAACGGGAGAGGCCGCAACAGTGAGAGGCCCGCGTACCGCAAAAAAAAAAAAAAAAAAAAAAAGAAAGCATCAATAATTCATTTAAGATTGAATATAACTTTTCAAGAGAATGCTGATGACATACATGCTGTCCACCTGCTAGGTCCCAGGAGAAGTTTCCATACTGGTACACCATGCATTGGGATTGGTCTTTAAAATTATTTGCAGACTGTTGAGTCCACCAGTCAACGAGGTCTCCATCCTTGTTAAAGTTTCTGCCTGGAATATATATTTATTTAACTAAAATGGGAACTTATTACAATTGCAATAAGATATCTTTAATTCAAGGTGCAAGGACTGAAATACCAGTATGTGAGAGAACATTAAACTGGACAGATGATGAGATAAACTGTTCTGCTTTCTCAACCAGAATTGATGAAACCCCGGCTGCTGGGACTCTCTTTGCTGATATGCCTCAGTATTAATCCAGGTATGTCACCCACTTGGCTGTTGATGTCTCAGCCAAGGCCATCAGACAAACACTCCTGAAATCATGACTTGCTTCTGTTGGATGGTCTGTTTAATTTGATGTTTTGAGATTGTAAAGATGTCAATATTTCACTCTGGCATTCATTTCATATCTCAAACCCTTCATTAGACATTGCAGACTCATAGTTTTGCTATACTTCAAGGACAAAGAAAAAGTCACCTTTTCTCCTGGAGCTTTTTTGCTAATTTTTTTTTTTTTTTACTTTTTATTTTATATTGGAGTATAGTTGATTAACAGTGTTGTGATAGTTTCAGATGTACAGCAAAGTGATCCAGTTATACATCTATTCTTTTTCAAATTCGTTTCCTATTTAGGTTGTTACATGATATTGAGCAGAATTCCCTGTGCTATACAGTAGGTCCTTGTTGGTTACCCATTTTAATATAGCAGTGTGTACATGTCAATCCCAAACTCCCTAACTATCCCTTCCGCCCAACCCTTCCCTTTGCTAATCTTAACTACATTGATCTTTCCCCTTTTGAGCTTTAGCAGCATTTATATACGTCATATGTTTGATACTTGATTTTATTATCTTTTAAACAGTTATCTATGATGTAGTGAATAAGAAAAGGGATATAAAGACAAGCTACCTGAACCCACATCCTGGTTCCACCAATTTCCAGTTTTGTAATTTTGAGCAAGTCTTATGTGCATCTATATTTTTCTGTTTGAAAAATGGAAATAGTATTAATACCTACCTGTGAAGTTTGTTGTGTAGTTTGAGTTAACAGAAGCTTAGTTAAGTCCTTCCTGTCTCCTTTTCTTCCTCTGTCTCTCTAAAGTTGGATTAAGGCTTCATTATTTTCCCTCTACTGTTCTCTTGTTATTTTCTTTCCACTTGTGAATCGATCTTTGTTATAACTTCAACTATTACCTCTTTACATATTTTACATCCTTACTTCTATTCCTCTCAAATTTCATTTCTAAAACTATTTTGCATTTTGGGCAGCATGTAAACATTTAATTGCCTACTGTTTTCAAGGCCCTGAACTAGGTAGTAGGTGCAAGATGCAGCAAAAAATATGTCTCTGACCACAAGCAGTTAAAAGTCCTGTGGGCACCTTACTTTCTGAGTTTACATCTGATTTTTAAGACGTGGACTCTGCCCTCTAAAAGTCTAGAGAGATAAGACATAAACAATCATGAAATAAGACCAAACATTATCATTGGTGTTGACAAATATCACAGTGTTTTCTCCATGTGAATATTTCTTTTATTCTGTCAGAGTAAAAAGCACACATTGCTAACCTCACTATTAGAAAATTCTGATCTTCTTAAGCAACAATTTAAAAGGAACACTAAAAGTGTGGTGATTATTAGACCAATGATATGCTGATGAATAAATGTGTTTTTGTACTGATAAATTATAATAACTCTTAATGAGGTTTACTAGGGTATATCTCAGCCAAAGAAAAGCATCAATTGCACTTTACCATTGTCATCGAAGCCATGGGTGATTTCGTGTCCTATGACCATGCCGATGCCCCCATAGTTCAATGAGTTAGACTGCTGGGCGCTGAAGAACGGGGGCTGCAGAATGCCAGCTGGGAAGACTATGAAGAAGGAAGACAGTTAAGACTACTTGTGGTTTTATTCTGTGATGACAGGCCTGGGGTTGGCTTCTTGCCTGCTAAGCTGTTTTCCAGTATGTCAGTTTCACTTAATTGTGTACAAAAATCTTCTGTGATAGAAACAAATGCAGGTCTTTTATTGTTGATGACAGTAAAGAGTTCATCCCAGAGTGGCACCACATCTGTGATTTATAATCATAATTGACTTTGTAACATCTATTAAGATTGTTTCCCCACTGTAAGGAGTTTAGAGCGAAGGAAAATTATCATCTTCATGCAGAAGGTCTTTTCCCCAACTGCAAATATTTGGGAGAAATAGTTACTTAATAATGGAAGTATTACTTCTAATGTGTCTAACATTTTATCCATCTACAATAGCTTAGTAAATAAACAGAGCCACTCAATCGAAAGTATCCCCCAATTACACCACCCTTATTTATTTTCATCAAGGCATGTATGACTATTTATGGTTGTTTGGTCCTTCTTTTTCTTGTCTGTCCCCATGGCACCTCAAATAGCTCATTGAGAGCGCAGATTTGTTAGTACATACATGTGTTTGTTTGTTTTTGAGTCCATTTGAATTCTCAGTTCATTATCTCCAGCACCTAAAACTGGATGGTGCCTGGAACATAACAGGTGCTCAGGAAATGTGTTGAATAAATGAATAATCAATGATGATGAATGAATGAATGAATTTCCTACGGTATCCTAAAGACTTTGCAAATAAATAAACTGTAATTTTTATGTCTACCCTGACATCTGTCTTACCTTGCTAACTTTCTACACTTAGGTGTCTCACACTATTTAAATTTCATGTGTCAGACATCAAACTCATCATTTTCCCTTCGAAGCCATCACTCTGACTTTATTATTTCTGCTAATAGCATGTGAAGGGTCTCAGTCACCCAAACTGAACATTTTTCTGTCTATCTTCGATGTCTCCTTTCTTTTATGAAGTCTCATATGATCTATTTAGGAAAAGATCAGGTCATGTACCTTCTTTCCAGTAGCATCTCTTCTGTTTATCTCCTCCTATCAGTCCTACTGCCACCTTCCTAGTTCACACTCTCATTCCTTGCCTCAAGAACTTAATTTCCTAATCGGTCTTCTTACTTCCAGTCTCACCCTACTATAATCTATCCTAAATCCAACCTATCTTGTCTGCCAATAAAAGTGCCACTGTAGTCATTATTTCTCCTCTGCTAGAACACCTCTGATGGCTTATCATTGCCATGATAGACAATCTGATAATCTAATTAGATACAGCCTCTTCTTACTGGCCTTTGTCTCTATGGTCTTCTATTTCTCTGCCTCCCCCATACTCTCCCCTTCCCTCATAACGTCCATGGTTTTGTAATTGTATCTTTCATGTTCTACAATTCTAGTATCCACTGAAGCATTATGTTCTGTAATCGAAAAAAAATCATTAGTTTCAACACCTACTATGCATGCAAATCCCCGGGCCATTGCTACATGGGATATCAAGAATACAAGAGAAAGGCCCTGACCTTAAGAAATTTAAGACCTAGTTAATACAGAGTAGCAAATGTTGTTTCTTTGTCATTCAGGTGGAGTGAGTATGACATAACCTTGCAAGGTTTCAGGGATAAATATTAGATATTTACAGAGGAGACTTTAAAATACACTGGGCAATTTAAGTGCTCTCCAGATCTTTAAAAAAAATCTTGAAAGTTGCCATAACATTCAAAATTACAAAAAAAAAAATAGTTTTGTCCTTGGAGAATTTTGATGAACGTTATACCTCACGTGTAGCTGCCTGAGCTATCAACAGTGCCAAGAAATTATTTTTAGCTTGAAGTATAAAAATTATGTGCAGTACTTTATTAACTTAAAGTGAACACTATCTCCCACACTATGTACTTTGATTAAAATCCATCCATTATATAAAATGCTCTTATGAAATGTGCTATCAAGACTAAACATTAACTGTAAAGATCCTGCTGCTTTAATTATACCCTGATATGCCATTCTTCAGGCAAGTGATAAGATTTTTATGGCTCATGTTAAATACTAGTCTTCAGGTTCAACTTTGCAAATTATGATTTCTCCTTTTACTCTGTCAGCTAACTATCTATGATGAGGATTTTCCCCATTAGCCTTATCACTGTTACTAGTAGGCATCACAACTCTTGATAATAACCAACTGCTTAGTTGTGCATTTTTTATGTTCATGATTGTCTACAAGTTAGTTAATTAAATAAGTCATTGGTCCATGAAACAAAAGGCTGTTTCTACCCACCCCCAGCCCCTCACTGCCCTGGTTTATTTTTTTAAGGCTGCAAGCAATTCGACTTTAGAATCTTTGATATAAAGCTCAAGAGTGCATTCAGATAAACTCAATTTTGGTGGAAAAAATTAAACATTGTTTTTTATATCAAATGAAATAGCAATATGTTCAGAAACATTTACTCTTAATTCTCAAGTCTGAAAATAAGACTCCTAAGAATGACTAAGACAAGTTTAGAAAATTTAATTATGTCAAGGTAGTCATAGATCACCCAGACTGAGTACACTAAATAATCCATAAATTTCCTAAAATTTAAAAAAAATTTCTTGTTAATGAAAAAGGAGAATGCAGCAGTAGTAAGACTTCCCAAATGACTTGAGCATTTCCTTGGAAATGACCTGAAAGTTTAATAGGATGATTGAGTGGTGTCTGAAACTTACAGAGAAACATTTGACAAAACTTTCAAGCACAGCTTTCCTAACGGCATGAAAGATTCCTAAAGCTCCATGGAGTAACTATGAGTTATGACAAAAGTGGTGGGAATTGAATTAAACAGTAGAAATTACTAATATGAATAACTCCCTATACAATAATAAAACAAGTTATTTATCACCATAACACAAAAAGACCAATCCCATTAGAAATTGTATGTGATCTAGCTTAGGGTATTTGTGTGAAGGTGGGAGGATCATTTATGAGACATGTTATTCTATACCAATTCTAATTATGTAATGCACATCATATCAAGTTCATTAAGACAGTGCTGCAAAAGTTATATCTCTAGGTATAGATAGACACACAAATACACTTTTATCAAGAAGAAAGATACAGATCTGGATCTTCAATTGTTTTTAGTTAAGACAATCCCCACTCTGGAGATTTAAATGAATTGTTAAGGAGAAAACGTATACATGTCAAATATTTCTCCTCTTGCATGACACTTTCCCTTTCTCTGAACTGCTTTTATTAGCAGATAAGCATATGAAAAGCATATGAAAAGACGTTAGCAATTTTTCAGATTTCTTATTTCCATCATATGAATTTACCTTGAGTATCTTTAAAAGGTCTTTCTTATATATTAAGAATGTTTATCACAGCCATTTCTTGACTATTCAGAGGATATTTGTCTACTTTGTGAAATGTTAGCACACTTTTACCTTCTTTTTCCTTTTGCTGTACGCTTGTTTGGTTTGAATGTATTAAATTCAAAATGAGAACATTGCCAGGTCTTCTCAGATCAGGGAATCTCTGAGGCAGACCAATTTTGAGCCAGCCTCAGGGCTATGGGGTAATTCAAAGCCAAACTAGGCCCATCTTGACCTAAACTGGGTGGACCTGCTCTAGAGAAGAAATGAAAGGATGAACATGCCAGAATGGTCCCACAGGTCTGTATGGCTCTTCTTATGGGGATGAATCAGTGTCAGGTCTGATAGGATCCTGAGCTGGATTAAAATAAAGCAATATCTCTTAGTCTGCCCTAATGCAGAATTCAAGTCAAGGCCACCTCAATTTGCCCTGGGATTCCATTAAAAGTCAATTATCCTGTTCTGTCCAAGTCTACAGTGAACTAGATCTTACACTGACAGACCTCAAGAGGTCTTCAAAGTGAAGACTCTCCCAAGATAATGGAGCTTCTAAGAAAAGGTCTGAATGGTGTCTAGGAATACATAACAAAGATAGACTGCATGGGTTCTGAGTTGATCATTAAACAGGCTCTGATCTAGGTTTAGGTAATCATTTCACTAGCTGGGAGATATATTACCCTAGACTTCGAACTAACTGACTTTAACCCAGTACACATGCCTTAATTATTACCTATTTTTTATATAAAGACAAACTTTTCTGATCATAATTCATTTTCATCTCATGTACCAAAATAAGCTCCAGATAGACTAAAGATTTGCTCCAAAAATAAAAATCTATAAAAATACTAGAAGAAAATGTGGATGATTTCTTAATTTAACACTTCCTAGGTTTAAAAGCAATGGGGGTGGGGGGGAATTCCCTGGTGGTCCAGTGGTCAGGACTCAACAACTTTCATTGCCAAGGGCCTGGATTCAATCCCTTGTCGGGGAACTTAGATTCCACAAGCTGCGTGGCGTGGCCAAAAAAATAAATAAATAAAATAAAAATAAAATAAAGGCAACGGGGGAAAGTGTCATCAAATTTTATCTTCCCTCTTGATTCTTGACTACACTGAGAAATGAAGGGCTGGACTGAGTACACCTGGAGAAGCTGGCTGTACTGTTTGTTTAGAATACTCCCACTGAAGTACTGAATCAGTTGGTTGCCTTTCTACATACTAAAAACCCTTGGGAGAAAATGGGTCTATCTGTGAGATACTTAAGAGGGAGTTTCAAGATGTCGCAGTATTCCCAGGAAGAGAAAAAAATATATCTTTGTTATATTAAGCCATTTCATTATTCATTATATTATTCACTCATGTATTAATTTCTATGCATATTTCTGTGATACTACTACTAGGGAACATATAAAATTTTTTTGATCAGAAGTGGTTAATAAATAAAATTTCATATGGTTCAACCTAGCATAATTGACTTTTCAACTTTCTGAGCCTCTTGGAATCTTCTAGAAAAAAAGATGATAAAGAACAGGACCATCTCTACCAGTGCCAGTGTACAAAATCGACAAAAAAATTGGATTTCTGAAAATTTGGTTCTTGGAATGTTAAACCACCTAAGATGCTGACACTTAGAAAGTCCTAAAGTTAATATAACTTTATGGCGATATAAGGGACTTTAAAAAAGTATTTAAAAATAAAATAAAAGTAGTGAGAAATAAGACAAACCATTCAACTATAAATGAGAATATTGTAAAAGAAACAAAACTACTTAGTGTGATTTACACTGATTTAAATTTTGCTATTATAGTGAAAAGAGGTACATGGATGCATTTACTTTCAAGGAGGATATTCAATAAATCCGTAACTCAGCCTCGCTGTGCTTTTATGGGGAGTATAATAAATTGGTCACGCAAAGCACTACCGCTTGGGAACAACAGAGAAATATTAAATAATTATTTAGGAGTAGACCTTACCTATCTGGTTTCTGCCTGAAGAATAAAATGCATTGACTACAGCTGCTCCGCTTATCCACCTATAGAAAACATAAGAACTTGTTACAAACGATACTGCATTACCTGATTTAATCTGCTCACCACAATAAAAGCATTATCACTGTTCCTAGATGAATCTTAACTTTCTGTTTGAAATATGATCAACAAATTAAAATTAGCTCACTAGGTGAGAGAGTTCATTGAAAGTATTTCCACTTCTTGAAATACAGGAATATATCCAGGTCTGCAATCTGTTTTTTAATTTGCATAAATTTTTAATGGAGGCAATTGACAGTACAAAACCCATTCTAATGTATCTCTTTGGAAACTGCAATGGATTAAAATTATATTGAAATGTGTTTAGCTCCGTGTTCCTGATACTAGGTAAACTATGCCAACAATTCTGGAGCAGTTGACAGAATATCGAAATGCAGGTTGCTAAAATTTCAGACTCTTTGTAAACTATGAATTAAATTTTTTTAAATTCATAGTTTACGAGGAGCCTTTTTGGGGACTAAGAGATCCCTTTGGCAGGTATTTAGTTTTGGGTAATGTGCCTCCTCTGATTATTGCCATTTAAAATTATTTCTTTAAAATATGGCATACCAGCTATGAGAGCAAAGGGATATTTTTGTATAATGACTGTAAAATGAAATTCAGGTGGTTCTTAAGTAGATTTGCCCGTGTATGCCATGAATTAGGCTCTATATTGAATCTAAAGATTTTATAAAATACAATTCCTGACTTTAGAAAACTCTAGTTGAGGAGATGATAAAGAGGCATAAATAACTATAATACAAGACAGAATGAGAAAAAAAACAACAACCCAGCCAGCGTTAAGCTAAAGGATGGTGCCAGTGTTCCAATGTCTTTCTGCTCAGATGTTATGAAGACCGCACATCAATAATCACTGTTAAACACTTTTGTGCAACAGGAGTAATATTACCATCTTAATAGACTATTACACATATCCTCATATACTCATTGAAAAATAGGTACTGCTTGACTTCAGCTACCTCCTTAAATGTCAGCACACATGCATACACTTAAGACAATCATATATTATTATCTAATGGCTGCATTGTAGTTATTCCACTTTTAGGGCAACAATTAGAATGGCAATTATTATCCTACTCATGGAAGGAGTTTATAGTAATTAGTGCAATGAGGTTAAATCAGAACTGTTTCCAGACCCTGCTTTGCAAGATAAGCAATACAAGGTCAGCACCCCTAAATCAGCATTTTAGCTACAATTTCAATAACTACTGTCAGATTTCAGATGTGAGTCCTATTTTGATCTCTTAAAAATAACTCAGGGAGGGCGACATATAATAACTATCTGATAAATTCTAATTAAGCATGAATTCTGTCTCCAATAACATGACTAAGACATTCATATAAAGGATTTGGGACTTGAAAAGAAAATCCAGATAGAATCTCTGTGAATTTTTCTTTAGGAAGAAAATAACTTTGAAGATGGAGGGTGTGGGTGGGGGAATAGTTGATCAATGTGTTTCTTCTTTGGTTTGATATTGTTGTTGTAAACAGAAAACATTTTCATACAGGATGGTGTGACAGATAGCTTAGTCCTCCCTAATTTCATCACAGCTGAGTCATCAATATTTTAATTTCTTGCAGGTTGTTGATTATAAGCATATAATTTTATTTATTTTAATTAAACTCCACCTTTTCCCACATGCTTTGTGGTGACTCACAACAAAAACATATACTTGTAATCCCAGGGGTGTTAGACTAAAATCTAGAGATCAGAAACTACATAGGACAGGTAGATTTTGTTTGTGTGACCCAAAAGATTATGAAACAAAACATTTGTATAAATAAAACACAGGATCAGGGAAAATGATGTATTAGGACTCTGTTTATATATATTCACACAGTTATTATGACTCAAGTATGGTTCAAGGTTGTCTGGCAGGAGGGGCAAAATAGGAAATGTGCTCATACTACTCCTGAGGAGAAACGCTGTTCCTTGCAGTGACTTTAGAAAGATATTTCTGATGTGTCCTCAACATTCTGATAGTGTAGGAGAGCAAAACTTGCCACCCGCAAATGTCTATTTGGTATGAGGATTATTTTGACTTGGAAACAAATCAAGGCCCAAAAGACTCAGGAAGAGGCTTTGACCTGCCTCCTAACTGCCTAAAAAATTTTTAGATAGAGGTCCTGTTCCTGGAATAGAGCCATCGCCAGAGGTAAGTTCAAAGAATATGGGCCAGGTGTGGTGGGAGAAACTTGACAGAGCCCAGAGGTCAGAGTCCACTCTGTATTCCATTGTCTCAGCATGACCCAGAGAACAAGTGTTTACCAAACACTTGCTTTTCCATCTCCTTGTGAATTGCCCTCCTCCCCGTTGAAGTCTCCAGCCACTACCCCAATCTCCTTTTGTATTTAGCTGAAGATGGTACCTAAGGTGAGGGATTCAGCCATCCTGGCAAGTTACTCAGTTTTCCTGGGTCTCTCCCATATATACATGTTATTAAACTTTGTTTGACTTTTCTCCTGTTAATCTGTCTCATGTCAATTTAATTCTTAGACCAGCCAGAAGATCCTGGAAGGGTAGAGGAAAATTTCTTCCTCCCTGGTAATAGCAAATATGGCAGTAGATTTTATGCATAAACAGCTTATAATTATTAAAGTTATTAAATTTCAATTGTTATAAAAATGAATTTAACATATTTTCAGGTCTCATTTGTTCAATTATGAACTTCTGATTTAGTGATGGTATACTCTGCATGGACTTTAATGGGTAATAACAAATAATATGCAAATTGCTGGTTCTGGACTCAGGCACAATGCTAATAATGAAATACAAAAGGTCCCAATTCAAAATGTTTTTGTTTTTTTTTAAATTATTATATTACAGAGGGAAGGAACTAGATACAGGAAACTAATGTTTCAGATAGCAACAGATCTCAGAAGTAGGACACAGATGAATGAAGTTTATATTACCCATCTCATGTTTATTGCTTTTGTAAAATAAATGTCACACCTTTTGTTTTAGTGATTTTTCTGCTCTTCTGTTACATTACTTTGAGGGGGGTTAAGATTGCACTTTGATTAATGTTTGTAACTTTCCAGCAGGGAGGGTTTTACATATTAAAATGTCCACTGTGAATTACACCTTCACGAAAATACGTAGCTATTTATGACCACAGGACACTCAAATAAAATTAGAATTATGGTGGTTAGGTTCACAGAGCACTCATGTGCAGTGTTTGCCTTTTCTTCCTTGAGATCTTTCACAGTGCGTCCTCAGACTACCCCTGGGTAATTACCCAGATTCAAAAGTACAGGGCACTTTGTCCCTGGGAATGATCAGAACTTGAGGTACTGTGACTGGATCATTACATCTTAGTGTGATGATAACAGCTACAGACTCAATGTCTAATATTTGTGGTCAATCATGAAATATTTCACTATGTCACTATAAAAGCTAAATTAATTGGACAAAAAATATTTTTCAAAGTAAATGGTGATGTAACAAAATATGTAAGTTCTTTTGATTTGGATGCAGCCTCGAAGTTTCAGGAGAAGCTTTCATTTATGGAAAACAGACAAATCTGACCGTGAATAGCAGCATAGAAAAGAGAAATTGCACAACTAAAGAGAAAACCAAGTATCCACTAACATAATGGATAGTGCAGGTTATCTGAAGATACCTTTAAAGTATGGAGGCCAGACACGAGCATCTCCTAGAGCAGGTATTGAACCTGAGAGATGGAGTAGATACCACCCTGTTCTTTGAATTCTCTTCCTGCCTCCGGTATGTGTGTAGGAGTATGGATGGGTGTGTGTGGTATAAAGTGAAGAGTGGGGAAGCAAGAAGTAAGCAAACTTTATCTTAAATTTCTGAGACATAATTTTGTCAGGTAATCTTATTCTTGTTTTGGGGCATTTACAGTAGGACAAAGAGCCACTATAAGCAGCATGGCCCTCGAAGCTGAACTACAATGTAGCTGGGAAATATGAATGATATACCCTTGAGAGGGGGACCAGGTGTGTTTCCCTTCTATCTCTTATTACCCTGAAGAACCTAAGTGGTGATGACATGAAAGAACAGAGACATCATTTTTACTGCAGGGAAGAAAAGCAGAAGTCTACAGACTGATCCTATAGCCTTATGGATATAATAAACCCATTGGATTGCAAAGGCACCTGGAATAAAACTTCTTTTGCTCACTCATGTGCAACTTAAAAAATTTAAGCAACAAAATCATTAATGCCCCTTTCCCTGAAAGCATTCAATTTCTTAGCATCTTGTGGCCTTGAAGCAACTCCTTTGACATCAGCAGTACAATACATTGGTTTTCTCTGTCTTCCTCAAGTACTTCTGGAAAGGAGAATTCTCATTTTGTAATTGCAGTTGCCACTGTAATGCTTTACATTTATTAATATTCCCTCATCAAAACTGCAAGCTTTTCTATATATTTTCATTCACCTTTCAAACCATACGAATAAGATAGATGACACCTCCAATTTTCAGGTGTAGAAACTAAGGCACATCATAGCTCAAACTCTTTTTCCTACTTACAGATTTAGCAATACAACAGGGAAAAGGATATATAAACTAGGGAGAAAGAGGACACTCTCATCTTCCAATCAAATCCCCTACTTCTAACATGTTGATCTGCATCACACATAAAATTTCATCACAAAAATGAATGCCATTTCCTTGCCATCCTCTTCTAAAATGAAAGTGCTCATTTTTAGACTGCTTCACATTTAGGGCTGCCCCTTTCCCTAAGAAGCTTTAGGATGCTGGCCTCTATGCCACCCTGAAGTCTCATCATGACCAGATCTTAACAACAATAGCTACTGTTTAATGAACACCTAAGTTACGTGGCAAGCACATTACACAACACAATGACCCGCAAGGCAAAAATAAATGCTATTATCCTCAGTTTATAAAGGAATCATTGAGGCTTAGAGGTATTATGTAGGTTGTCTAAGTTCACACAGCGAATAAGTGGCAGAGGAAGAATCTTACCTCAGGACTGCGCACTCCCTCTAGCCCCCACCT